TTCCAGAGACAGAATGCAAGTTTGGAAAATTTGTTTTTTTTATTGATAACTTATTTTACTTATTTAAAGTACCCCTCAGCGTGTTTAAAAGGCGTAAAACAGACGGAGCGGTTTCTGCCGAGTCGGCACCGATTCGGCGGAGGAGCGGCTCGAAACACACACAGCGTTTCCGCGCCTGACGGATCAACTTATTCAAAAATGCATAATCTCGCTGTTGCCAGCTGTTTGCGTACAGTCACACCGTACGCAATGGCGTCTTCTAGTGACGACGATTTTTTTAAATTTAGTGACTATTGATTTATTGTACACTAAAATTTAAAAAAAAAAGAAACGCAAGTTTTGGATAAATCTTATGAAAAATGAGAAGAAAAATCGGGGATTTTTTTACACGCTATATAAGGAGCTAAATGAAGACCAGGAGCGCATATCCCAAATCGCTGACCTTATGTGAATTTCATTTATTAGCCTCTCAACGTTCAAATTTTCCATAATTTTATTCTAACTGGCAACACTGATGTTCACGAAATTCAAAAAACCGTACTAAAACCGGTCGACGTGTGTTTCCTTCCATAATTAAGCGAACATGGAATGATGCGCCGAGCGTGTGCCGACTAGAGTCGTAAAAACGCGCGCGGCACATGATAGCCAGCAGGGTACGCTCGGCCGCCGCCTCTGACGCGACACCGTCTGGTTCATACAATAAAAGTGTCATAAACGGGACGTCGCTTCGGTGGCCGACTCGGCAAAAACCGCTTCGTGTGTTTTAGGTCTAAATCCAACATTCAAAAACGCGCGTGTTTTAAAGTTATCATGACAACATCAACAACCCAAGAAAGGTAGGTATAAAGTCTAAATGTCAACTTTTTGATTATTGGTTTGTCAGGAGTAGGTACTTGTAGATAAAGTCAAATAAAATATAACAAGTGTCAACGAATTTAGCATTCTACAATAGGGAACTTTACAATTTTTTTTTAATTTTTTCAACTCATTTATTTATGCCTTGAAAGAGTATTCCCCAAATATTATTCCCTGAAACTCAATAATAGCTTGGTGAAAAATGTTTAAAGTTTCGCGCGAATTTAAAGCATTTCAAACGACCCTAAATGCGCGCGAATCTGGATGACGTCACGTAGTATGATTTTGCGTTAAGCCGGCGCCACACGATGTGTCCAACCATTGGCCCCAACGTTGGGTACAGTGTTTTTTACTCTAGCATTTGGCAAATGTATCATGTATCCGATGAGCGCACGGCTACACGATGCCACAAATCGCTATCTGTCCAACGTTAAAAGGCATTCGACACATCGTGTGGCGCCGGCTTCACCTTGCCGTCAAACGTCATACTTTATTGTATTTGCCGTGCGTTCGTTATTTTGGTCCGAGTTCTCCGAGCTTGACTTTACCGTTCGTTTATTTGAAAAGTGTACTTGGTGCAGCCACATTCGCGTTCGTTTATTAAAATTTCTGGCACTTTTATACAGCGTTCAACTGCTCTGTTCGCTCACTGGTCACGTGATTACGGCTCCGCTCAGCACGCTCTGCTCTTTGAGCAAAATACCGAACGCAAGGTTAATTTGGTTGATTTCCACATTTTCCACAGTTATTTGGTTTGTTGTTGTTTTGTGCGGCGGCGAGTTGTAAATTTTGAAGTATAATGGAAAAAAAGATTCGCACATACTTTTGCTACCATATCACAAATTACAGATTGTCGGATTGGCCTTTGGAATTTCCTTCTTCGGTCATAATAAATTAATAGGTATATCGTTTTATCCATATAATGCTGAGCTGATCATTAAATTTAAGTTTAGTAAACGAATTCTAATAAATGATAAAATTTTAAAAAATCAGAGAAAAACGTAAATAAACACAACTAACGGGTAGGTATTTATTATGTAGAGTTCGAGTAAACGCTCGGAGTTGATTTTTTGTTCTTTTATCCCTGTTCTTCTCATCATAAGGAAAAAAGACGGAAAATGCTCCGAGCACTCAGTGTTTCAAAACGAACTCACGGTATGATGGACGGTTGCTGAGAGACACTGACAGATCATACTAGATGACGTCACGACCAGTACCAGAGCGTTTTTTCCCGCTGGAAATAATTTGAATTTTTCCGCATTTTTAATTCCTTATTGTGGCCGTTTGCGACAAAAAAAATTTGTTTATGTAATTTTCGCTGATATAGGTTTTAATTAATGTAATCTTATGATTTATAGTAATATTTTCATGTTTAAATTTTTTGTCAAGTTCCCTATTATTAGTAATTTTTGATTTGAACGTATACCAATAAAAAAAAAATAGTGTAAAGTATTCGTGGATAACTGGTCTTTAAAACACTTGCTCTATTTCGAGCACTCCGCCTGTGCCGTCGTGCTCGAAAAATCGCGCGTTTTAAAGACCTTAATATCCACTTATACTTTAATATACTATTTCATAATTTATAGAGTTTTTTGAGTAATTGAAGGACCTTTTACACGAGTTCCCAGACTTCAAAATTGGAAATTTGAAATTTGCCGCTTTATTTTATTTCAATTTTTGGCTATTGACTTGGTTTTGATTCATAAATTTTGAGCCTAATTACATTTGAATTGACAGCTTTGCAGCTGCATAACTATTGAAGCTGGATTGAAATTATTTATCTGTAGAAAATTTTAGGGGCACGGGCACGTAACTTCGTAGGGGGGGCGGGAGGTTGGATTTTTTTTTTATAGGAAGTTGTCATGTTATTTTTCTGTATTCTCTCTGAATCCGAGAGATTGTTCATATATTCTGAGACACCCTTTATAAAAAAAACACCCTTTACATAAACATAGGATTAAGCTTATTTGTTCTCTACGTTTTATTTTGGGAAATCGAAAAGTGCCAATTTTTAGGTTCGGTACCACCGTACCTAACCTATTTTGCGATGTTGAGAACTACCGTGGAATATCGATACTTTTTGCCAACTCAAAAGTATTCGAATCAATCTTAACCGAGGAAATATTTGGAACCTATAGACTTTACCTTATACCAGACAGAACAACACGGATTCTTTAGCAAGCGTTCAACTGCATCCAATCTAGCAGTCTACCAGAACTTCTTAATAACCTCCGTTGAGGCCGGACACAAGGTCGACTCCATTTACACAGATCTAGCCAAGGCTTTTGATAGCGTGTGCCACCTCCTTCTTATAAAAAAACTATCAGAAATTGGTATTTCTGTAAACTATTTAGCATGGACCAAATCATATCCAGAGGGTTGAAGTGTGTGGCTACTCCTCAAAAAACGTCAAGGTCACCACGGGTGTTCCCTAAGGATCACACATTGGATCTGTTCTTTTCCTGTTGTTTATCAAAGGTGTTTCCTCCTGCTTCCATTCCTCGCACTTTCTCCAGTATGCTGATGACCTGAAATTTTATAATGTTAGGAATGGAGTTTCCAACCCACTGCAACCAGATCTCGACAGATTTGCTTCTTGGTGTTCTTCAAACCTACTGAAAATCAACAAATCTAAATGCAAATCAATAACATTCCACAAGAGTACATCTCTTCACATGTCAACATATAAGATTGGTGGTCAACAAATTGATAATGTAGAATAGACCTATCTATTTTTACCTGTATGCGCGCGCGACACGAGGCAATGCATTTTTATTGGCTAACTAGTACAGTTGTGAAGTAATCCTTTCGCACGCTGGGCATCTTCTTGTCCTTGTTCATTGCCCGTGGTCTGACAAGGATAAAATTATGCTTGATATTCAATTTGTCCTAGCTTGACAAGTGATCGATTTTCAATTGTTTGTGTTTTTGATTAACAAATACGTTGCACGTCTCGCAGTTTTCCTCCTTCCTTTTTTATCCCGTGCAAATAATAACAACGGATTACTATACGTAAGTCTAACATAATTTGGTACGTTTTGCCTCGTCTTGCGCAATAAGCGTTTTGCGTCTTTTTCTATCTAATAAAGTTTTCGTATTATTACCTCTTTGTCTGGTAAAATAGATAGGTCTATTCACCAACGACCGTTCGATCAAAAACTGGTATTCAAAATGCACATCGATATTATTGTTGTCAAAAGCTGCAGATTGCTTGGCTTCATTAAGCGAAATACCAAACACATCAACGACACAAAGGCTCTTACTTGTCTTTACAACGCCCTTGTACGCGGCACTCTTGAATACTGCTCCATCATCTGGTCCCCACATTATACCATCCATATCAATAGACTAGAAAACGTCCATAACAGGTTTCTAAAATATCTACTATATAAACACCGCTTTCCTTCATCTGGAATACCTTATGAAACCAGACTGTTGCTGTGTGGGATGATGAGCCTTGCATGAGCAGAGACGGAAACACGCCCTACTCATTATTCTTTACAAAATCCTGAATAATTGGATAGATTGCAGTACATTATTGGAATCAATATTTTTTTTGGTTCCCATTAGAAGAACCAGACAACATCAACTTTTTTATGAGCTCCCGCACAGAACGAATTATAGATTTACAGCTTTTGTGGACAGAACGATTTGCAATTACAACAGATATTATAGGGAGTGTGATCTTTTAAATTGTTCCTTATTGTCAATTAAACCTTGTGTCTAAACTTTAGATTTTAATTTACATTTGCTTATGTGTACTACTAGTCGAACTGTTGTTCACTGTGATTTTGTCCTATATTTTATTTTTTTAACCATATTTTCATGTATGTACCATTTAGAAAACTTATTAGTTGAATTCCTTTCAAGAGTTTGAAACACTCGAGCTACTCGCTTCGGTGTTCAGTCGCCTCCGATTTGCAGGGAACAGATACATGGTGCAACAAACACTTTTCGAAAGGAATAAGTGCGTGAAGCCCCTGAGCTGTTCCGGATCTCCTTTTACGTGTGAAAGGAATACAACTATTGTTATTCTGTAGTGTACTGATTGAGTAAATAAATAAAAAATAAAATAAATAAATATAATCATTGTAAGTCCAGACCTCAACATAACAAAAAATTATTCGAAATAAGTCGCAAACAAAGCTGTTTAAAAATAAATTTATTATAAATAAGAAGAAAAAAAAACAAAGTATAAAGTAGATAGACATACAGTTTCACCTGTAAATATGTATAGTTTGTAAAATAAATTAAGTGTAATAATACTAAAAGGTACATATACACGATTAAGTAGATGAATGAATATTAATAGTAACAGAAAACAATGTTAGTAATAAAACATAAAAACAAAAAATTATGAAGAAATTGCATTTTTGTAAATATTTATTTCTGGACCCTTGAAAATGTATTCAATATTCTTACACAAAAATACATTTTCTCATAATTTTCAACAATTCCTAATGCTATTAAAACACAATTTTCTTATTATAAATTACATTCCATTTTCAACTATTAATAAGTCATAAACAATTTCTACCATCGGGTTCAATAATTAATCACAAAATTACTATCACTACAGTGTTTTGCTTATAGTACAACCATCTTTAATATTTCTTGAACAATTTTAAAGAAACTTGCAATGCAAGATTACTAAAACATAAATAAGTGATTATTTAATTAATAACAATAAATTTTAGAAAAAATGCAATATTGTCCGTCGTTTTTGATCTGCTGACACTTTCCGTATGAGGAGCGAGAGGGTATAGCAAAAACAAGTGTGACGTCTGGTAACCATTGGCGTTCTAACGTAGTGCGCCACCAGCTCACATTCCTTCTTTGGAGTATCAGATTGAAATCGATGGACGGTCCATATTAATTTTAAATTATTCTGGTAACTAGATGCACAATAAACACACAATTTAATATATTATTATTGGATGATACATGACACTAGTAATATACACACACATTTATTTATAACTATTTGCCTTATCTTAGGCCTTATACCCAAACCCAAAACCCATGGCAACTTTTGAATCTACAAAAGTCAATATTTTGTTTACCCAATAGATTTCTTACTATGAATGGCAATAAAAAAATAGGAACCATTTTATGATTTTTTTGAAATAAAAGTTTTTTGGCCTACCACAAATTGTAAGTACTCTTGTTTTAAAACATATATTTAAGTACTGAGAAGCGAGAAGCATTTTTGGATTCAGGTGTAAGTTTTAATTATTTACAAGTTTTAAAACGGCAGTTACTGTAGAAAAAAAGATTGCTGTTAATCCTTGCTTAAACTTTTTGCACTTCTCATAATTTGCTAACTGACAATGTCGATATTGGATACGAATTTTCTTTGATGATTTGCCTTTACGAAAATGAGATTTCTAGTTTTATCATCATTTAAACTTCCAGTTAAGCAAACAAGCTCCACTATAAACCTAAGTTAGTAAACCATCTCTAACAAGGTCTATCTCAAGCTACTAGTCCAAAAATGCTTCTCACTTCAAATAATGCAAAATAAACCAAAAAAAAGTCCCAATTCCCGAAACAACACCACGTCATTTTTTTTTTGTTTCTTCAATTTTTTTGACTTTTTTTGCCAAAGTCAAAAAACACCCTGAACAGTTATTTAATCAAGTTTCTGAATCAAATCCTTTTAACCAATAAAAAAGTGTCATCTATAAATGAAAATCAAAACCTTAACTACAACCTTATCGTATCACCTATTAGTGTCGAAATTATTTAATTCTAAACGTAAATTGTTTTCGTTCGCGCCTTCCGGAGGACTTTTGCTGATACCAAACGAATTAAAGTGCGAATAATTTCTAGGGGAATTCTCATAGTCGCCACGCTGATTTCCAAATGATATGTCAATGGACTTAGTGGGCGAATTCATTACAGTTACGGAAGCATCATCGAAAGGTATATCAGGAATATTGAGTTCAGAACTAGCCATATCGTAGCTGCTCTGATTGTTACTTACTGATTTAAACGTGTCACTTTTGGTGGGACTAGAATAATTATTTTCAGAAGGAAGACTGGAAAAATCTAAGTTTTCTTGGGAAAAATAGCCAGTTTCGTGATTATTTAATGATAATTTGTGAGCTGGCGATGGCATTTGATGGCTAGGAGTGCTGTATTGATGATTAGGTGTTGCCAAAATGTGCGTGGGAGTTGTAAAAGCCGAATTTGGACACGATATTATGCCATTGTTACCGTTGTTATCAAGGAGCTTATTAAGTACGTGGTTTTTACCAAATGTAGATTCTTTTTCGACAACAATTTCAGCATGACATTCAGGAGCTGGACTTAAAGGACTAGCAGCACTCTTAAAATCAGACGTAAGTACAGGCCATTTTCGTTCTTTTTTCAAGTCCCTTTCAATAGCCAAATATTTCTTCTTTGATTTGTCGGCATCGTGGAATTTGAATCTTAATCTTTTAAAAACGATTTTTTCAATAAAAAAGTTTTCCACGAACATACTAACAACAAAATTAGCCATTGCGTATCCTAAAATATACAAACGGAAATCCATACTTTCTGGCAGTTTAAGTTCAAAAAATCTTTGTACGATTTCAGCAGGATAAATGGCCAAGTACACAGAAATAGCAGTCATAAAAATGGAAGATATAATAAACCCGTAATTTGAAAATATCGATTTTCTATAAGGATAACCTTTAGAAAATACTATGGCTAATATAATATATTGAAAGCTTGATATAGTATAAATAGTATAATTTTCCCAGCAAGCGAAATCTTCACTGTCATTGGTATTATTAAATGGAACATACCAAGGCTCAGATTTTAAATGTTCAAATGCAGCCATTTGGAAAAATATCACAAAAGCCATATGAACAAGTAAAGATAAAATTGGACTAAAACTTATCAAACTACTAAGAGGGGTTTGTTTATGTAACTTTCCTTGATACGCTTCGGTTTTGCCAAAAAAGAACGCAAATATCGAAATAATAGCCAAATCAATAAACAAATACTCCATGTCGGTAAGATTGCTTTCTATAGAATAAAGTATTAAAACGGAAACAAATTGGCATAAAGAATACCCGGCCATATACTTAAAAATACCAAAACTTGTTATCAGAGCTGCACGGCCTTCACGAATGACATCCAAAACACAAGTGATGTTCGGGTTTCTTGAGGTAAATGGAGAGGCTACGCTGGATTCGGCTTCTGAGAGGGAGATTCCGGTGTGGGCTGCTTTTAAGGCTCCGCAGTCGTTGGCGCCATCACCACACATACCTAGAATTGAACAAGTTATGAATTTTTTTTTTCTTTTGGTTAAAGTGTTCATTTTTTATAAGACTTCTCGAGTTAATAACTTTTATATTATAGAGCGAGAGCTCATAACACAAAAAAGTTAAACATTTCTAACAGGTATGGCGACCCCCTAGGGGTCGAATTACGTAATGAGGAAAACGAAAAAGATGATAACTTTCTTGCCGTTGGGCCCTAATCGTATAGCGATTATTCGCACTTGTCAGATAAATTGCGGGTTTCAAACGATTTGTAACACAAAGATTCTTGTATTTTTTGATAGTTTATGAAAAAGGAACTAGTCGAAAGCTAAATGTCATACTTTTCCGGTGGGTGGGGCTAGTAATCGCGTAGGGTGTGCATATTGCTTAATCTTAATATTATCTAATTTTTCAACAAAACGCAAAGAACAGCAAACCCAAAAATATAAACATTCCTATCTACTTTTTTTTTGTTGTCTATTATTGTAAACACCAATAAGAACCAAGCCTTCTACGCTAGGGGTCGACCGGGGCAAAGTTCTTTCCGCGGTGGACCTACACAACCAGGATAAGCTGGCGGATGCGCCACCGAACTTACCGAATTTATTGAGGCTTCAGCATATGGAGTAAAGATAAAACGAAGCATGGTTGGAAATGAACAGCTCTACAATCAAAAAGGCTATTGAACAACAAATAAATCCAAGTTCCATAGGTTCCGAAGTAAGTAGAGTGAAGTTAGTTCGTGATGGTGGAATTGCTATTAGTTACATAAAAAAAGATGATATTATAAGGAATATTTCTCATAATATTAGAGATAAAATGAGCAGGGACCATGACATAGAACTACCAGAAAAGAAAAATCCAAAAATTAAAATTACAAACATTGAAAAAAACTTTGTACGGGACCATGATGTGCTACTTGAAACAAATATTTTACAAAATAGATTAAAAACCGAAGAAGATAAATCATTAAAAATTTTACATAGTTATGAAGACAAAAGAAGGAAAACGGAAACTGTTTTACTAGAGGTGGACCCAAAAACATATGATCAAATAAACCAAAAAGAAGTATTACATATTGGATGGAGAAAGTGTAGATTCTTCGATTATATAAATATCATCCAATGTTACAAGTGTTATAAATTCGGTCATATGGCAGATCAATGTAGAAACAATGACATAGTATGTCCCAAATGTAGTGAAGATTGTAAAAGTGAAATTCAAATTTGTGCTAACTGTAAACATGCTAAGGAAATATTAAAAATTCCAAACATAGAATATAATTATATGGCATTTAACAGAGAGTGTGAAGCATACAAAAGAATATACCAGCAGTTGCAAATGAGAGTCGATTACCCAAATACATTTGGTTCACAAAGTAAATAACAATCACCCAAGCATAGCTTAATGTACCGGGTGATTGTCTATATTTTGCACCAACATCTATCTCACCTGTTTGAAGAGATACCCAAATATGTCAAATGTGAAAGTTGTAGGTAATATCAGAAAGTTTTCAATGATGTTAGTCACAAGTACACAGGGTATGTCATGTCACAAAAGTGTGGCGAACCAAAGTTATATTTTTTTAAATGGAAAATCCCATATACGTGTGTCCCAGAATATGTGGGCAATCTCTCGGATTTAGATAGAACTGAAAAAAATAACATGACAACTTCCTATAAAAAAAAATTCCTACGGCCCCCCCTACGAAGTTACGTGCCCCTAAAGGACGCCTCTGAAAATCCGTTTTGTGTTGATAACTTTCAAAATACTTAGTGTAATTTTTTTTCTTTTAATATGATGGATACTAGGTTAGACCCCCACTAAAATGGACCATCTCTAACACACTTGACCAATCTAGTTTGCCAGGGACGGACTAGCTTTACCGCAATAATGACACTGAGGAAATATTAGTAGAAAGGATTAATTTTCATTGTCGCGAAATAAGGGCTTATATTGAAGCATTGTCGAGAGTCGAACCATCTTTCATTAAAATAGGTATGGAATGCATAAGATTAGAAGGATCTCATGTTTTCTCGACATAAAAATTATTTTATATCCTACTGAACTATTATAATCATATAATACCTTGGTTACGATGATCATAAACAGGGTCTTAACTCCCGCGCGGGATTTAAGGATTTCATAACTTCCAAGGGAGTTAAGGGGATTGAATGCGCCTCGATGCCAAAATATTTTTTCCTGCGCGCAGGCTATCATTGTATTCTTCCTCCCCTATTAATACTGCTTAGTGGGAATGAGATGAATGAAACAAGGAATGCATTGCGTTCTTAGTTTCAACGTTACTTTTTAGCAGTTGAAGTTATATCAAATTTCTTTTTTGCATTTGATTTATAATATAGGGAAGAATGGCGCTATCTTTTCAGAAATCCGGTAATAGGAACGAGTTCTCCAAAAATTACAAAAATGTAATTCAAACTGGAAAAAAACGAGAAAATTCATCAATTTATGGTATCTTTTTTAATTAGCGCCAATCTTATGTGTGTTAGCAATACAATAGCACAAATCAGAATTCCAAAAATTATCTAGTTTTTTTTTGTAGAAATTTAATCAATTCTTCTCGTCATTTTGCCTGTCTCTGTTATACCCGCAGCAAACCCTATGGCTCTTTCCTCCGCCTGTTTTGCGATAAATTTTAAATCGCTATCATGAAGGATCCAGCGTTAACCGGCCCAACAGTAGCCCAATGCAATAATCGCGATGAACCTCGCATCTTTATTAGTATTAACTTGTTGGGTAGTTGTATAGTTCGACGTGCGTTAGAATATATTTTAAACGGCGCATTCAATACCCTTAAGGAAGGGAGTTAAAGATATTATAACTCCCAAGGGAGTTGAGGATTTCCATAACTCCCGCTTTTACCTTGAATAGGTAAAACTTAGCGAAAAAATATAAATTTTGGTTTATGGTTTATTCATCTATAAAAATAGACAAAATACAGTAAATCCAGTAGGATATAAAATTATCTATGTACCACGGGAATTATCAGGTGTTAATATCCATGGGCAATTGCTGTCCCTCCGGCCCACAAACTTTGCCCTGGGGTATTAACACCCTCATAATTCCCTTGATACATAAATAACTATAATAAAAAACCATTAGTACACAAAAACAGATTTTTCTCGAAACCAGCTCATTTTTTTGACATCGAATAAGAATACCTTTTTTCTAGTTCAAGGTTAAAACTATCTAAAAATATTATTGTTATGCCTATATCATACAGGGTGTAAAAAAAATTAGCATTATTGTGTTAAAGCTAGTCCGTCCCTGGCAAACTAGATTGGCCAAGTGTGTTTGAAAGGGTCCATTTCAAGAGATCTTATCTAGTATCAATCATATTAAAAGAAAAAAAAAAATTACACGAAATATTTTGAAAGTTTTCAACAAAAAACCGATTTTCAGAGGTGTTCTTTAGGGGCACGTAACTTCGTAGGGGGGGCCGTAGGATTTTTTTTTATAGGAAGTTATCATGTTATTTTTTTGTGTTTTATCTGAATCCGAGAGATTGCCCACATATTCTGGGACACCCTGTATTATTGTCCCATTGGATTAGACTTTCGATTTCAAATATACTTGTTTTTTTTAGAGACCACCAGCAAAATATAAAGGTAGATAATCATTAATGTAAAAATCCATATCATTTCTTCAAAATGGGATATTCAGAGGCTGGACTATGAGGAATAAACCTAAAAAACCTAGTATATTTGGAATCAGGTTCGAAAGGCTAATCGAATGGGACAATAATATATGGGTTTTCCATTTAAAAAAGGTTAACTTTGCTTCGCCGCACTTTTGTGACACACTCTGTGTACTTGTAACTAACATCATTGAAAACTTTCTGATATTACCTACAACTTTCATATTTGACAATTCTGGGTATCTCTTCAAATAGGTGAGATAGATGTGGGTGCAAAATATAGACAATCATCCGGTACCTAAATATTGAAAGCTTCACAGCACATAGAATAGAGCTGGCATGGATTGTAAACAAGTGGAGACCAATAATTGTTTGTTTAACCGGAACACATATAACAGAGGAATTGCAGGAAAATGGAACAAATATAGATGGGTATAAAGTAGTGCACGCATTTTCAACAAGCAGACATACGGGAGGGTCATCGATTTATGTAAAAGAGGAATTTTATTACAAACCAACAATAGATATTGTTATAGAAAAAAATATGTGGCTCACTGGAATAAACTTACGTGTTAATGGCATAAAGTACAATATTCTCAATGTCCACCACTCTCTTAGTTTAAGTGATAGTGAATTTCTGGACAGTTTAGAAGAAATAGTAACTGAATATGCTTCCAAGCCTGACACACTTATTATGACTGACGACTTTAACATCAACCTTGCAAAAGATTCATTTTACTCAAAAAAAGCTTAATAGTAATATTTCCAAAAAAATGGCCTCTCCCAAATGGTTCAAAGCTTTACTAGAATAACTCAGACAACTGCTACAATGATTGACGTTATTATTACCAATGAAAAACAAATTCAATGTCAAATACATCATACATCGAAAATAGCGGATCACTCCATTCTTACAATACAACTACCATCTCAGGAACCAGAAATACAAAAGAAAATCTTCAGAGATATGAAAAACTTCAATATAGCTCAATTCCAACTAGATCTTATGCAATGTGAGTGGCCAGGCAATCTCGGAATCGTCGATGAAATGGCAAACTACCTAGTACAAAAAATAATTGAAACAGATGATCATGCGAAATTATAGAAAGAGAGGTATTATTAAGTATTCGAAGTTGCTGTCAAATGATAGTTTATAAAAATCTAAGACAAGAATGTAAGATCGGTTTTCCTCTAAAATTAACCGTTTAGGTTTTACAGCCTGTCAAAGTTGCAAAAAAGTCAATTTTCAACCGTCAATATTTCCAAAACAGTTGAGTTTATACTTAAATGTATGGAATTAAAAACCCTCCAAAATGATGTATCACTTGACCCACCTTCCCATTTAAAATTTTCTAGGGGGTGGCTCTGGAGGCTGGGGTGTTGAAAGGGGGAAGGTGAATTTTGCATAAAAACTCATCCCCCTTCAAATTAAAGTTGACGTGTTTCAGGGATTTTTTCGAAAAATTTTCTGCTCCGAGATAATAGGGGTGGGAAGTTTTCAAATTGACACCCTGTATATTCATGATGATGTAATGATGGAACAATAAAAATTAGAACAAGTCAAAGAGTGTGAATACTTGGGAGTCATGATAGATGAAAATCTTACATTTTCTAGTCATGCAAAATATGTTACAAAAAATAGTTATTTATTATACAAGGGAAAAAAGTACTAGATTTCAGCGCGAGAAGTGGTAAGCGGAGGGAGACAATTTGAAACCCGCAATTTATCTGATAAGTTCGAATAATCGCCATGCGATTAGGACCCAAGAAAGTTATCATCTTTTTCGTTTTCCTTATTACGTAATTCAACCCCTAGGAGGTTGCCATACCTGTTACAAATGTTTAAACTTTTTTGTCTAATGAGCTACCAGTCTATTAGCGAAAATCTTGCATGAAATACATTGTGAGGTCAGCAATAAATCATTCATTCGCTTACCAACACAATAACCCAAGCCTTGAAGCTCCTGGACCAACTGTTGCTTTTGTTCCGGGGACATTCTCGCAAATACAGTACCTAAAAAAAAACGAATCAATATACAAAAATCTATATTTATTTATTTATTTATTTATGTATAAAAAATACATACATTTGAAGTTGTACAAAGTTTAAATCTAACATAATCTAAAAATCTAACCTAAAACAATTCTTTTGGCCCGCGTCTTGTATTATCTTGAGATAAACTGAAGAAGTCAAGACCCTCATAGAACTTATTTACATTGACAGATACTGGATAGTACGTATCAAGTACCAAGAACGACAGTAAGGAATGTGCAGTAAAGATTAACTTCGTGTGCGATAACTTTGAGTGTGTAGATAAAAGCATCCAAAGGCATTCGTGGCTTTTTATGTAGTAGTTAAGGATATTAAAAGCAAAACAGACATCAAAGTATTCCCTTCTGCGAACAAGAGTGATTAAGTCTAAGTAAGTCATAGTCCGGTCACCGCTGAGAATCACATCACTCAGAGACACTTTATAACTAGCAAACTTGTTAAATTTTTGTTGAACACTATCAACCAAACTATGCAAGAAAATTCAAGAACAGATCTGACCAGAGATGTGTAAAGAATTTTGATGGGGCGTATACTTGTAAAGTCCCTAGTGGCTCTCTTAATAAAACCGAACATTCTATTAGCCCTGCCAATTATCACTTCAAAATGCTTGGTGAACATTAACTTAGTATCTAGATAGACACCAAGATCTTTAATGACAGAAACTACAGACAAGCGTACATTACCTAAGCAATACTGGAAGGAAACCTTACAAGTGAGTCTACTGAATCTTATACAACAACACTTATCAATGTTGAGGAACATATCATTAAGCTGGCACCAATCATAAACAATGTTAAGATCGTTTTGCAGGATAAGTATGTCTTGAGCTGACATCACCTGATGACACAAGTTCAAGTCATCAGCGAAGAGTGAAAAATTTGAGGAAAAAACGATACTAAATCATTGATGAATAAGGGAAATAGAAGGGGGCCTAAGTGAGAGCCTTGGGGTACCCCAGAGGATGCATGGAAAAGAGAAGAAAGATAGTCATCGATTTTGACTTTTTACATTCTGTTAGTAAGGTAAAATTTCATCCATGCAAGTAAGGGGCCAAAAACGCCATTGCTTAAGAGCTTTGAAAGAAGGATGTTATGGTTTACCTTATCAAAGGCTTTACTGAAATCAGTATATATTGCATGAGTTTCTGCATTGTTATCAAATGATAATTTATAAAATTTGTCAAGAGAAACAGGTTCGTGTCAACCAATCTACTGGCTGTACAAGTTTGAAAAGAATAGAGCAAATTTCAAACTTACCTCGTGTACAAATCCTTGGCAACAATTCGGGATAATACTCTTTGACAACACCCCATGTTCTGCCAGTCATAGCAAACCGATAATTATTCATCAATTCTCCTGATTTAACCACACCATTTCCAGATTCTACAAAACCATTCCTGGCGACTGAATTACTTTGCAGCTGACTTTCAAGAGTTTCTAGACTAACTACACTAGCCGAATTTGACATAATAGAGGCATCTGAAAAAAATTATAAACAATTTAATCAATAATAAGACACTGTATCAAATTAAGATTCTTCAGGGCTATTTTTAAATTCTCACCTTTGACAGATTTGCTCCGATCTTTAGTATTAGTAAGCCTATAATGTAAATTAGGTGGATTATTATTATCACAATCCACAGTAATAATACTTTGTGTTGGAAGCACTATATCACAATCCTTGGCAACAGATATAGCAGTCAAAATGTTATCCCCTAAAATAATTAAAAATTACAAACTACAAGATTTTTTCCCTTTCCAATTACCTGTAACCATTATAACCCGTATGTGAGCTTCATTTAGCGCCTGAATGCTAGGAAAAGTCTCAGGTTTCAGCCTATTCTCCAGCACAATCAATCCCAAAAACGTCAAATCGTTTTCGATAACTTCCCGTTGAACTTTTTGCACTTTGGCGTAACCCATTTTCAGTTCCTTGTGAGCCATTGCGATAACTCGGTAACCTTCCTGAGTGTAACTTTCTAAAATGTCATGGAAATCTGCCGGGACGGTTTCTGGTTTCACAAAATTAAGTATCATTTCGGGCGAGCCTTTGCAGTAATATTCGAAGTGGGTACCGCTTAGGCGTCTCATTATTACGCCCATACGTTGAGAACTGCTCGAAAATGGAAATTCACGTAAAACACCTAAAATAATTAATGTCTTAGTTGAATTTCTTTTTAAATTAATTCAAATTTAAATGAAGAGAATCCACAGAGAGGAATCATATAGTATGTTGGTACAAAATAACTAAGAGCCTCAAAAGACACTGTGTCCCTTTAAAACGTCAACACTTGAGTGGGCATAGAGGAATCTCAAAGCCCTTATTGCCGAAGATAGAAAACAAGCCTGAAGGGCAAATTGTAGTAGAAAGTCCTTTCTTAGGCCTGTTTTTTCACTTCAAGGGTTAGATACCAAAAGAGTTTACAACACAACTAAGAGTCTCAGAGTCCTTATTGCCAAAGACAGAAAACAAGCCTAAACAAGCCAATTATCCTGTGAAAATTGTGAAAGTCTTTTCTTAGGCCTGTTTTTTCTATTCAAGGGTTAGTTTCTTTCCATGGTTCCCTCTCAAGCTTAGACTAAATAAAATTTCACTAAAGACATCATTTTGTATAAATCGAAATGAAAAGAAATTAAACTAAAAAAAAATTCAAATTAGCACTTACCAATTTGTAATTCCTCATCAAGATTCTCATTAGGATGAGCCGTATTTTTAGGAGGCTTAAATACTGTTGGAAAGATCATATTAAATTTATTATTATCAGCAAGTTCTGATTCATCCATTTGCCATTTGGTGGATTCGAACATTTTCAGATCTAAAGGATCTCCGACTATTTGATTGTCGATTATAGTCAGAGAATGACAGCAAACTAAACCGCGATGGAACGTGTCGTAAGGCATCGTGTCTACTGTTGATACTGGAGAATTAAACAATTTTTCGTTTGTTGGTACCACGCAAAGCAAATCTAGGCCGTCTTCTGTTAAAGTACCAGTCTGAAAATTGAATTTGGTAAGTTTGTGATTTTAAAGATGAAAATATTACCTTATCAAAACAAATGCAATTGAGGCCTCCTGAAACGTTAATGCTCCTTGGGGAAATGCAAAAAATATTTTTATTTTTCAGCCTAATTTGGGCATAAAATCTTCCAACGGTCATTGCTGCCGGTAAAGCAGGTGGCACCACAATAGTTATCAAATCTAAAGCTTGCAAAATCAAATCCCTAGCCGACACTCCTTTCAGTACCTTCGTAACGACAGTATACAAAAAGCCAGTGCCTGCAATACACGCCAGGAAAATAACAAATTTATAGCTGTCTTTCTCAAACCTAAAGTCCACCGGGGGTGGATATAGGATGCTGCGCACTAAGCTTCCTTTTGCTGTTGAGAATCCAGTTCTGATTACCACTGCCAGGACTTTTTCGTTGCCAAAGTATCGAGTTTGAATTACGTGGGTGCCACAAAAGAGAGTGTGTCTTGCATGTTCTTTTGGATCGAAGATGGTGGAGAAGTTTGGCAAGGAGGTTTTTGTTACTGGAACACTTTCACCTAAAAAAAGGACAGACTATAATGAGATATTTTTGTTTCGAGTTTTCCAAAAAAGCTTCAAGTAGGTATTAATATTTTTACTTTGTTTATCAGGTAGCTTGGTTTTTAGCTAGTTTTTGACTATCATTTACAAGTTAGCTTAGATTTATTGAGACATATTCAATTTTTTGTTACCTACTATATTATAATCATTGAGCTTTTGTGAATTTCTATTTAATTCTCAAGATCGTGTGTTTATCCATTGATAAATATTACCTGTTAACATAGCTTCATTCAAAATACAATTCCCAGTCAACAAAATGGCATCGCAATGCATAATACAACCATGAGAAGGAATTTCCAAAATATCTCCAGGAACCAGTAAATTCGTGGATACAACTTCTGTAGTATATCCGTGATCGTTCAACTCATCATAATCGGTTTCGTTAGAGGAACGCCTCAATACCGTACAAACATCGCTACAGTGAACCGTTGATTTGAGATTTCTCTGATTCTTTCTGGTTTGCCTCACAGTCATAGCGATACCGAATAGCGACATTGCTAAAATCGCTGAAGCGTAGTAATAATATTCGTCGCTGAACCATAGAATGAAACTTAAAATTTGGAAAATGTAGAAAGGATTTAGAGCTTCTAGGAATAAAAGAGTTGTGATTGATGTTTCTTTTACTTCGATCAAATTGGATCCATAAACAAGTCTTCTTGTGAAATTCTCGCTAGAGTTCAAAGGTTGGTACTGATGGAAAACATCACAAGAAACCCCACTATCCAGTCCAGCCAATTTAGCAAACTCTCGTTTTTCTTTATCATAGAGGTATGTAACTTTTTTAACGGAGAACAAAAGGAGCCTAAAATAAATTAAATAAATAAATTACAAAAATATTCTATTGATGCTAAGTTCATACTTGTCTACGTCTCTGAATTCTCCTTTTTCAAAATGCACAGATAAAGCTTGTGGAATCGTAACATTTTCAGTGTTTTGATGGTGCAAAGTATCATCGTCGATTTTCATTTTGGCTACACTCTCTGGCGTTAGGGTTCTTAGCGATTTTACATGGTAGATTTTGTGGTTTCCATTATACAGTTCCTGAATGAAAAATTTTTGTTATTGAATCCTATGACTCACAAGTTTAATGGTCAAGATTTTTATAATTTGGTTTTATAGCCGAGTGATTACTAAAAAATGTAGCTAAGTATGTACTCGAAAAAAGCTGAAATCGTTAAGGTTAAAATCATCCTGATAAGCTGAGATCATCTCGAGATTGAGATTTAAAATTAATTGAATTCTATAGCAAAATAATAGCCTAAACCTAGCAATAGTGAATTTTAGGACAAATCCCCAGTTTGAGAACTATTTGGATACAAAATTGGGTATTTTGTTCTTGTGCCTGTATAGATGTAAAAAATTCTGTAATGATCCTTTAACAGAACTATAAAAACATAATTGTGATGCAAAGTTCAGGCTAAAAATAATAGTGACATCCAATTTACATTATTAAAAACCATACTTAATATTAAAAAAAATCTTTCATTTGTAATAGAAGTATCGCTGGAGTAGGTTTTATGAGAGTTTTTGTCACCAAAGATAAGATTATTCTGGAATTGAAGTATTTCTCCGAATGACAAATCCCCTTCTCATTACAACCGATAAATTAATAATATTGTTTTAAGAGATTTGTCACCAAGTCAACATACTATTACTTACCACTATAAGAATTTTTTCAGCATCAGAAATCTTGCATTTAACACAAGTAGAAATTAGATAAAGATGTGGTATCCAATGGTAAACCAGTCTGAGTATTCCGCAAGTCAAAATAAAACCCAAATAAGTGATCGCCGTTTTCACAGAACTTGTGCGGTAGTAGAAAATCTCCATCTCGTCATCTTGACCTTTGTTGATGAACATTTTGTATTCATTCACCGGATCCCCTGGAACAGAATATCAAATTTAATAATATATTTACATAAAGGTGAATATTTGAAAAATGGATGATACTAATGATCAATAAAATTCAAAGTTTCAGAATTCCTTCAATTGGCAATCAAAATCTAAACAATTAAAAGACCATACATTTTTGTCCACATACTGAATAAATAGATTGAATTGATCAAAGAAACTCACCATAAAAGCTCTAATTTCTCAGTACACTGCCGCAATTTACTAACCAAAATCAGAAGATACCTGCCTACCACAAAAGCAAGATAGCAACTAGTCATTTCTTTAAACAAAAATTCATAAAAATCCCAAATACTTCTCAAACTGATAAGAAAACATTGCCATATGATAAAAGTTACTATGTATTTGCCTTAGTGTGAAACAATCAGGTTTAATTTCTCATTAAATGATGTAAAAGTATTGATAATTGAAGCTGGAGCTAATAAAATTTGCAACATGGTGTATATTCATAATCATGATACGATATTACTATTGCAGGTCAATGGCATACTTTTTTTTGCGCAAACCAGGCAGCATGTGAAAGTTTTCAGATCAATAATTATTATAGAGAATTCCTCGGAGAATTGACACATTTTAGGGTTGGTCAAAGGTGTCCCAAAATTGATCTTAAAAACATAAAAGGTGTAAAGTCATCAGTGATTCAAATAAATATCATACAAACAAAAACAAATTTTTTTTTGTAATTTTTGCATTAATTAGGAAAAAGTGGCCCATTGTGCTACAAAAGCGACTAAAGTTTTTATTTCTTTATTGAAATAACCAAAAATTGGTTTTCCTGATGTATGTATGTAAGTACAATAATTATTATCTGGCAAGGCAACTTGTGGATATTATCTCAGCCTTATCATGCACCTACGAAATGCGGTTATTTCTACAGAAAAATATTATTCCCACAGATAATTAAAGCTCTTCCATTTTTGTATATTTCATACTCATCTTGATTGATTTAATTTCAACTAGATTTCAAAAACAGGGTACATTTCGAAAGAACCTTCAATATATTCTATTATTAATCTTATGAGTCAAAATTCGATTTTAACAGCTGTCGAGCCTTTTCAAATACCTCCTATTATTGAATTTCAGTAGAATTCCATTTATAACTTCCTTCAGCTTTGGGTCAAAGAAAAAGTACCTAGGTAGAGAAACACGAAAACAGAAACTTGAATGAATATTGTTGTACAAAGGAAAAATGTAAAGGACCATAGATTTTTTTGTGTAACTTATACTAAAGTTTGCCTATTTAAAAAAAAAAATTACAGCAGGTGTGATTTATCAGCATTTTAACTTAATATTATTCTCATGGTCTACTAGGAAAATATGGCACATTAATATTATAATGACATCATATTAGTACAATACAATGTATTACACAATTGGGTTATTTTAGAAATGCGTGTCTGATATTACACAATAGCGAGTATTATTTAATGCATTTTTCCTGACTTTGCGGAAACTTTAAATAAGGAGAATTTAAGGCTACTTATAATACTTGTCTCATATTATTTTGTGTGTTTTTTTCAATTGATTTTCCTACTCAATATTATATAATAAATGTCGGTTTAGAACGTCTTTCTTCGTTGTCCGAGAGACAAAATTTTCATTTTCTTTTATTGTCGCAATCCTCTGATGAGAGATTTCTTTCGCTCATGACTTTTGTATGGTCTGCCATTCCAGTTTTGGTCTCCCTCGTTTTCTTCTACCTATTGCCAATGCAGCATTTTTTTGGGCCACTGGTATTTGGCATTTGTTCTACCAGGTAAATCAAATCAAATCAAATCAAAATATGCTTTATTGTTTTAAACAAAGTAATGTTGTAAACAAAGCTGAAAAAGGTTCGTAATAAAATAAAAAAAATAAATGAATAAATTCAGAACCTACAAAATCAAAAATAGAATAAAGTGTACTTATATGACTTAGTTTACGTAGTCTAAATATATATGAATCATTAAATTACATAATTATAAAATTGAAACACAAACAGTAAACAGTTAATAAAATAATATAAAATCTTACATTTAAAAATAAAGCAGTACATTTACAATTTAACGTCATAGTAAAAAAAAAACACACAGCACACAGAACAGTAAAAAGTATCCATAAGCACACCTTTTTTTGCTTAAATCATTTAATTAATTAATCAAGTAATTTGTTTTCTTTGAATGTCCTGAACTATCGTGTCCATTTGTTGTTTTACATAGTCGTATTCTCTCTCTTCGTGAGATTCGCATGGATCTTCTGATAGCATCAATTTCAACTGCTTCTATTTTCTTCTTTTGTCTGTCTGTAATTCTTCAAGTCTCGGTTTCATATAGAAGGCTGCTCTTGATCATTGTCTCGTATGTATTGAAATGTCTCTTCTTTGTTATTTTCTTGCTCCATAAGATTCCATTTACGTATCCTATTATTTTTTTAGCTTTAACTATTCGCCTTTCTATTTCTTTCATATCTGTTTTAGTGCTATCGAACGTAATACCTAGATAAATTCATATTCCTGACATTGCAGAATTTCCTGACCATTTTCTACTTCCAAGTTTTCGTTCTGGGTATCAAAATACCTTGTCAGTACCTGATCTTCCTGCTCTAAAGCCGCACTGCTCGTCTTTTTCTTTCTCTTTATAATATTCTCCTATGAGATCACGCAGGATTTTACTGTATAGTCTGGATCTCGATAGTGATTGCAATCCAGCTTATTTTCTTTTTTGTGAATGGAACATATAAAAGCTGTTTTCCAGTCTTGTTAACTCTCATCTTATTACCTGCCCAGGTAAGGGTGCTTGGTGGACATCAACTATAAACTACACGTATCTGGAATGGCACCGACCGTTGTCGGATATGGCATTTGTATGGCATTTGTCATCTTGCTTAGTGCCTCCAAAAAAGCTACATAGTGGGGTATCCCTTTCTCTCTCCAGTTCATTGCTGTTAGGTTTGGCATATTCCTAACCTCGAATAAAATATTTTTTTGACAAGGAAAGATTTCCATGATTCGCCAATAAGATAAATAGAGATGTGTGTACCCCACATTCTCCATCTCAATCTGCCGCAAATTTATAGATCGGCGGGCCATTCCAGGTACGTTTAGTTCATTGTTGGTGGATGACACAGATTACTGGATGACACGAAATGTCATGAGCTTTGAAGTCTGTCAAAGTCTGTCTTCGTTCTGTGCTGTCTACTGATAATTATTGTCACTCCTTGAGCTTATCACATTCAAGTTTCAAAAATATTCTGAAGTTTATGTGAAGAGACCTACGCAAGAACTTATTGCAACATGGTGGCAGCGAAAGGGCTTCAAGAATAAACAAGATTTTGCAGAGACGTTGTGACGAAATGCAAGAAGTTTAATTTGCGATGTCGTTTCCAGACGGACATGAATTGAGGACTCAAGGGTCTGTAACTACGGCTATGCAGGTAAATTTGGGCATAAATGTAACTCATCCAGATAAACTGAATTTTTCATGTCCAAATATTTAGCCACAGTGGCGAAAAAGATTTGAGAGGTACAGGGTGATCTATTATAAATGTCACCCCCTTCCAACTTTTTCATTTTACATTTTTGACAAAAGTGTCACATACAAAAGTTTCAAAAAATTATCGAAAGTTTTTAACTAAGTCAGTTTCAGGCATATAGGGTGCCTCAAAAAAGTGCAACAGTGTGAAGTTATATTTTTTTAAATGGAACACCCTGTGTGCTTATTTGTTAGTCCCTTTCAACCTGATTTTAACGATATACAGTTTGATGTGTCTATCTTCAATAGTTATAGGGAAAAACATGAAAACCCCTTTCAAGGTTTCATATTGAAAAAAGAAAAATTATACCATTTAAGCTTTAGAGAATTTTTTTTTTTATCAGTTTATGGTTTCAATTTTTTTCGTCAATATACAAGGTGAAATATTATAATAAATCCCGATGTCTAAGTTTTTTCCTATTACTATTGGAGATAAACCGAGAGATATACATATCAAACCGTATATCGTTGAAATCACGTCAAACGGGACTAACAAATAAGCGCACAATATACAGGGTGTTCCATTTAAAAAAATATAACTTCACATTGCTGCACTTTTTTGGCGCACGCTGTATGCCTAAAACTGAGTTAAAAACTTTTGACAATATCTTAAAACTTTTGCATTTGACACTTCTGTCAAAAACAAAAAAAAAGTTAGCAGCGGGGTGACATTTATAATAGATCACCCCGTACATGTCTGTATCAGAACAAAACAACAAAAGTGATACAGAGAAAATTGATTTGCTTTTATATGTAATGGGAGATGAGTCTGAAGATATTCTGATGACCTTTACAGAGCCACGGCCAACTACATACCAAACTATGTTGGATGAGTTCGAAAAGCATTTCATACCAAAGAAAAATGTTATATTTGAACGTTTTAAGTTTAATTCTCGAGTTCAGAAACCAGGGGAATCAATTGAAACGTTTATCACAAGTTTATATAGTCTTGCTGAAACTTGTAATTATGGGAAACTTAAAAATGAGCTTATAAGAGATCGGCTAGTTGTTGGTATGCTTGATTTGAAGACCAGTAATAATATGCAATTACGAGCTAATTTGACACTAGAAGATGCTGTAAGGATAGCAAAACAAGCTGAAGTACAAGCTCAGCAAAGTAAGGAACTATTTCAAGAAAGCCGGCACAGACAGGTAGCCAAGGTATCCAGTGAAAGCTATAATCGAAGCAAAAAAACAAGTTTTAATCAGCAAGGAGAAGCTGGTTATTGGGAAGGTAAGAAAACATGCGATTTCTGTGGCTTGCGGCTCCATCCCAGAGAGAACTGTCCAGCGAAAACACCAGCCTGCAGAAAGTGTAAAAAAATAGGTCACTGGGCTGGTGTCTGTTAGAGATGGAAAATGATGAAATTAATGAGAATAATGATTTTCTGGGGCTGATGTGACCTGTATTCCAAGTAGTTTCATAAATCATAATTTGTTGAAAAACCTATGTTGTTTTAAAA